ATCTCTATAATATATATATATATATATATATATATATATATATACTCATATATTCAATTCCCTGTATTCATTTGTCTTATGTACAATTATATCTTGTTCAAGTATATACACACATATATAAGTATATTCAATGATATTCATTATTATTTTCTGCTTCCTCGTTATCATTATTGATAATTGATATTTTATTTACCATTGCTGAATTTTTCCTTGTCACATTGCGAATTATTATCTCGAAATATTAGTATTGATTATTATTATTGATGATTGCACTGTTCTGATACTGTAATACCATATTACTGTAATTTAGCATGTCATTATAATATTCATAACTACCCAAGTAATATTACTTCTCTCTTATTCAAACATTATCATATTATGTTTCGTACTATATTTTAAAATGCTACAAGGAAGTACGAAATCTCACATATTTGATAACTCTATGTTTTTTGCATGCATGTAATTTCAGAGTGTGATACGAATATAATATTCTTGATATTTACATATATATAATTATCCACCTCATCGTCTTAAATAATATATTGAACTTAACGAACTGATTATATTTTCATCACCATTTATTCTATTGTCGAACAATCATTTCTTACAGCCATTTAGATACTCACACGTAGTTCATAGTATATGAATTCATTTAACCGCCGCGTTGTCATATCACTCTAACACTTTACCTCGCTACCGTCTTCACTACCTGCCGGAGCGACTCCCCGCTGAGGTAACGCCCGTGATTTTCCGCTCGGCCACAGGCGTTGCTGTCATCTTTAACACAAGGAAATAATTAACATTTCCATACCATTTCTCTTCGCATGCTATATTGCACGTGCTATTAATCATGCCTATCTCTAAAGAAATATGTGCTAAACAAGCTTATTCTTTTCAACCAACAGATACCTCAAGTACTTCCCGCTTACATTATGTCAACCCCGCTGAATAACCCCCTTGATCGCTGGCCCCGTTGGCCTCCAATAATTAAGGGTGCCCTTCAATTGACTCACCCCTGG